TTGTGAGTCAGCCCCAAGGAGATGATTGGTCAGACCGAGTTGGCGTCGCCAGACACTGGTGTGTACGTGCAGGCAGCTGCGAGGCGTTGAGCATTACACTCGGAGTTGCGACACTACAAGGCTGTGGACTTGCTAGTGCACCAATACTTTCATCCGTGGTTTATTTTTGTTCAAATAGCGATACTCACTACAATGCTGTCTTTAGGGGTTGTCATCCATTTATGGTGATTTTTTTCTTAATACTTAAATTCCTTGCGGTGTTAACCTTAAACTTATGCTGGAAAACTCTAAGAGTTAAGGTGCATTGTACTGGGAAGATCATCGTAAGTGTACTCCGAGTACCAACGGCACTTCTACACTGCTACATTTTATACTTACCCTCGTTGACTGCTGTTTCATTTTCTCGTCCTTCTATCCTATTTGCTCAAGTTTCCATCTTTTTAAACATATTTCTGTCTCCTTTTAGTCATATTGTTCCATTGTATTTCAATTTCTCATACTTTTCGCTCCTCTTTTTTGTATAACTTTCCACGAACCCTGGAATTTCTGTAATTATCACATCTATTAGCTTATATTTTTCAAAACTGTCAGCAGTCCCTTTTCGCTTTTGGCCAGACTTGGGACAGGATATACTGCCTATGTCGTTAGCTGCAGTGCGGCTGTTAACGGGTCTCAAAAATGAGCCCCAAACGATAGATGAGCGCCCACCTACCATTGTTAATATTCACGATTGAAACCAGTAAGGCAAGGAGCTCATGCTGCTGTGGTTAGAGCGCTTAACTTCTAGCCAGCAGATCGAGAATTTGCATTTTGGATGCCGCAACACCTGTGGTTGGGCATGGCTGGCTGATGAGGGTTTATAAGCCAGAAAGGACCATTCCAGTATCCGCTGGTCTCTTTCGGCTATGCTATTCTGCATACACTACTAACTTCTGGGTTGCTGTTGCTGCAGGCGGGGCTCAAGAGTGGTCGTTAAGGCACCGAGGTGCAAGTGAGTCCTGATCGGTTGACGTCCAAACATTTATTGTCTGGGTTTACGTGTGAAAAATGCCTGATTATAGTCATAATCGTGCGGTTCCCGTTGTCCCCTGGTGCTCTAAACTCAGTCCTGCACTTTCCTTATTTTTTTTATTTCTTTGGAAATGCAGGAGCAAATGGTGCACGAAGTGCTTA